AGCTAAGCCAGGTTTGGTCCAAGGGCTTGACACTGTTCTTCTGCAAACCCGGTTTTAAATTTTAGCTGGTGAATTAAGAATGTGAGAGTTTAAGAATTTGAGACAAAGCTAAGAATTTAAAATTATGAAATGTAGCTAAGAGCAAGGAAACAGGGCGATTCTTTGTCACCTGCAATTTCGCTGCTTCATGAGAGCTGTTAAGACTTTTGAACCTTCAAATCCTGTGTCTTCAAGAGCCCAATCCCTCTCCCAAGCAAAGTGCCTATCATTGGGCCTGATTCTATGACCAGGGTTACCTGAACTGTCAGGCTTACCTGATTTCATGATCACATTTACCTGAACTTCTTGATTGTTGTTTACATTGGGGAGAGGGAGGATGGATTGTTTTCTCTCAGTTCAGTCCTGCCTGGGAAACTGAGTGCATGTGCATAGTATCCAGTGGAAGGATGAGGAAAGGTGAGAGAGGTGGGGACGCAGGTTGCGCTCTTGGGCAGGTCTGTCTCCCATGGACGGCACTGCTGCCCTTTGGGGCTGGCCCGTTCTCTGCGCTGGGGGGTGGTGTCCTGGGCATCGTAGGCTGCTTGGCAGCATACCTGGCTCCTTTCTACCTGTTAGAAACCAGGAGCAACAGCCAGGTCACGGCAGCCAAAAATATCGCTAAGTTCTTTTGAAAAGAAAATAACTCACGATCACATTTTGAAAATCTGCATCTTTCTATATAGATTTACACATAAGCAAGGGCCACAGGGGTGTACATTTTTAGGAAAGAGGTTTGTAAGCAGCAGGATCTCTGCATGATTCAAGATCAGTAGGCATATGTAAGTCCAAGAAAGAGATGAGAAAATTGTACTTCTTGAAAGTTAAGGAGCTCGCAAATGATGAATTTCAGAAAGGTGATTGGCACCCATTAGTTAATGAGCACCAGTTTATAACTGGGCAGGCCGAGACAGGGGGATCCACCTACGGACCATCGCTAGGCTCTGGATTAATCCATGTCCATGTTTTCATTCTCTCATCGACTCTCCCTACTTCTCACAGGACTCTGTCTCTCCACGTGCTGCCAAAGTAGAAATAAAGGCAAGGGATGCCACTGGGTTCTGGTGCATCGGTGTCCGGGCTCTCTCCACGACCTGATTTCGGAGGTCTGTTAGCCTCTATACCCAATTATTTCTACAGGAAGAACATGAAAGTTTATGTCCTGTGATCATTCAGACAAACCACACTTTATAGAGGCTTACAGAAACGACACCATGTGTTCTAAGTTAGACGCCCCAAGTGACCAGACAAAGTTGCTTCGTAAGTGGAAACGTGACATCCTTTAAATGTTGGGCTCCAAGAAAACAAAAAGAATGAAGGAAAAGAGGAGTAGGGTGGGGGGCGAAGGAAAGAAGAAAGAAGCAGTCACCAGACCTAGAACCTGGCATAAGGGTCCAACATAAATCCTGTAACCCAGACACCATCTAGCACCCTGTAGAGTGAAAACCCCAAACCCACAGGACTCGCTGGCAGTGTCTGTCACCTCCACAGCTAACCATTAGGGCAATTTTAGCACATTCACAAGTGAGACTTGATCTCACCTGTATGTAAGGTGAAGATCCTGCTATATAAAGGCACCACTACGACAGGGAATTGTGTCTGGATAGCCAGGAACACGGGGTCACTGTGAACACTCAGCCACCAATGCTCGGTCTTTGTACTTGCCGAGCATTTCAAGGTAATTTTTAATGAGTGGAGGCAGGATGTCTCAGGGGCTTAATAAAACCCAGACCTTGCTTGAGTATCTACTGGGTACCTGCGTTAGGCCCGGGAGGGCTGTTACACTGAAGTCTTTGTCACACACGCAAAAGACATGGGGTGGGGGTGGGGGGGAGTACCTGACTGCAAAGAAAGAAAACCGGCAGAGACCGAGAACACTGTGCAGACAGAAAACTCCTCATTTTCTGATAGGTTTCACTGACCAGCACATGTTCCCACCCAGTGCTTGCCTTTATATAACTGTGGAGGTCGGCATAGTCTGGGTACACCTGGGGCCCTTCGGCAGCTGGCACGTACTCGGAGACACAGCAGCAGTTGGGACAGCAGTGGAACAAAGTCGGGGGACGAGGGAACATGGCCACGGAGGCAGCAGGCCCAGCAGCCATGACGGGCACAGGCACCCAGGCATGGTGGGACGGCAGCAGTCCAGGAAATGGGAGCTGTGCGGAGTGCACGGGGACGATCTAGGAGGCACGGCCTGTAAGGGTTCATCCGGGTGGAAGGTACGGCAAAACAGACAAAGAGGAACTCTGCAGGCACAGTGACATCTGCCGCTGTGGTGACACGCGCCTGGACGCCCTCTGGCTGCTCTTCAGCCCTCGGGCTACTGGAGGTCGTCATTCCTCAAGGGGGTTGCTGGCGGAGCAGACTCGCTCCTGATTTGCCTAGTGGGGCCGTCAGGGTCTTGGTTCTTTGGTACCTCCTGGCTGTCCTCATTCAGACGTGTTCGATCTTCTAGGTGCTCGGTGGTTGGGGGTGCCAGAGGGGATTCTGTGGCTTCTGGCTTGCTCTCCCTCTGCCTTAATGCAGATGTAATGCCCACTCTTCTCTCCATCCTCCCAGTGAGGTGAGGGAGTCTCTTATGAAGTAGAGATTGCAGTAGCACTGTAACTGCGGTTCAAAGTTTAAAAAGAATAGGAAACTCCATGTGACAAGTTAACTGCCACTACCCACGATCTAGGCCCCGGTGCAGTAGAACTCTAGTGGCTCTGGGACACAAGGTTAAGTCCCAAAAGGAAGTTGTGGACCCGTTTTACATCTTCAACATGCATCAATTTGTGACGAGCATTTCACCCTTGGAAAATGCCTAAAAATGGCAAATTTGGAAGTGTACACGGCCAAGGGAAAGGGACTTTGAAGTTGCAGCCTGGGAGTGAAGAAGATTCTGGGCGTCTCTAATGGAGTGTCAGCTGGAAACAGAATAAACCCCTGGCTGGGAGACCAGGGCACTGGCTCTTCCACACCAGGGGCCCGAGGACCAAGGCAAGCAGGCATGTCTATGCCACCTTCGGCAGGCTCCCTTAAGTGCCCTCGGTTTAGCTCTTCTCCAGATGGCAACTAGGGGGACGCTGATATTTTAACACCAACAGATGCCCACGCCTACCTCTGTTACAGATTAAAGCACTATGGAGTCATGGGGACACATCACCTGCCAGGTGACATTCTTTTTCTCCAGAGGAGGAGGGCATGCAGATCGAGTGACTGAACAGCCCTGATACACGGCCTGGCACCATTCTCAGCCCTTTCCCCATGTGACTTCTTACTGAGTTAATGTCACCACGACCCAGAGGGGGAAGCAGGCACAGGAATGGCTCCGTACCCCACCCCAGGTCACCCAATTTTCATGAGGCAGTCCTGGGACTTTCCCCCGACCTGACCCCAGAGCCCACTGCCGTAGGCCTTCATGAGGTTTCTCATCTGCTTCCTCGCTCACGACACAGACTTGGTCTTTCTTCAGTGAAAAAGTTGGCAAGGCAGAGGGAAGTGTGAATGTCCTGACACCTTTTGCTGAAGCTGTAGAGGTTTAGCTGGCGGAGAGGCTCTCCATACCATCTGTTTCAAACCCTTTGTTGGGGCCATTCCTTTCCAGCATTTCCTTTTGAAACGGCTTTTCACTGATCCCTACACCAGTGCCACCGTCATCCCACCCAAACTGATTGCTGTGGACGACCCTCCACAGCTTTTGTTGGAAGGGGAGGGAGAGGAGAATCCGTCTCCCATTGATGGGGTGTCATAGACAGGGCACGGTCGTCTCAACAAAGGCTCTTGGGCCAGAGCTCAGAAAGCAGTTTCTTCAAGCAGCAGCCTGATGTCAGGGCACCCAGTGGACGTCCGGTCGTCCCAGGCACAGGACGGCTCTGCTGGATGGCGGTCCTTCTCTGCATACCTTGGGGGAGCCCTTGCTTCTGGAGGAAAAGGCACCGCTGGGAGCTGTGCCCCCGGCGCTACTTTCATCACATCTCGCCAGAAGTGATGCTCGTCCTTTGGTCACGTCAGCCCGGGAGTGTGGCGCAGCCAGCAGCACCCCTGGTAATAACGCAGCTCCGGGCATTGCAGAGGGGCTCAGGCTGCTTGGGGTGACGTCACAACACACCCAGCGCATGATCGAATAAAGGGCCAGGCCAGGCCAGGCCAGAAGAGTGACCTGTCAGCGTGTGAACTTTCTGGTCCACGCAGAGTCATTTCGATGGGAAAGATGACGTTGGTACACACTAGTGTTTCCGGTGACCTGCTGTACCGTAGGTGCAGATCGTGAACTGTCTCCTTGGCGACGTGTCCTAGAGGTCTTGGGGCCAGGCAGAACCACAGTACAGCACTGCCTAAAGACGTCAGGGCCCACTCTTGGGGACGCTGGCCCACACCCCACAGCATAGGATTGATGCTTTTAAGCACGGAATCAAGTCTAGCATGGACCCCGTGGTTCCGGCTGCAGCCGCACCATGCTTTTAACAGCACCCTGGGATGTCCTCCACAGAGATGTTCCTAACACACCCATACTGCTGGGCAGGAGACAGCCAATGGCAGCTGGCGGCCTTCTTCCCACCTGCCCTCAGCCTGCACTCATACGGGCCCTGCCCCCCAACCCTGGGCCTTCGTGGTCACGCCGTGACAGGGCATCTGGCCACCGGCCTTCACACACATTTTACTTTCCTTATCCGACATGCGTGTAGGTTTAGACCCCCGAGTTCCATCTCTGCCATCCTTCCTCTCGGTGTGGTGCCGGCAGGTCAAGGGAGAGGCGTCCATCCAAAGCAGCCTCTGCGTCACACACCGTCCCCACATACGGGGCCACCTGTCCACAAGCTCCCGCACTTGATTCTGGGCACCGAGCTCGATGATGTTGATGTTCCCCCACCCCCGCTAGCCTCGGCTGCCTGCGGCAGCTAGAGATTCCCTTTGCTCTGGCTGACAACAATTCCGATTTCCCGGACCACCAACAAAAGCACATGCGCACAGTGCCCGTGTAAAATGAAGAGCCAGTTTATTGAACAGCTTAAGAGAGTAAAAACAGTGGATTTAGCTACACTTTTTACACACTGAGCAGGTAAGGCTACCACTTTCCGTTCCCCCTTACCCCAAACAGAACAGGCTCCCTGGAGGCCCGTTGCAGGGCGCAGGCCTGTATGTGCGGGACTGGAATTAAGCCGACTTAGGCCGGTGAGCAGCTGCCCACGTTAACACTGCACACCCCTCTCCCGGCTGAGTATATCGACGGCCCCCTTTTACCCTCTTTTAAATGAACGACCGATTTGGTTTCAGGCAGCATGATATCACACTTGTAGCAGGTGACTCACGACTGTACCCGCGGTGCCTGGAGCTTTCACGTGTCAAAGCATCGCGCCTCGTCTAAAGCCTCCTTGTTGCTGGCAGACAGAAAGCTTGAGCCTTAACACGGACGCCATTTCTGCTCTGGGCAACATCCTCCAGTGTCCTGGCATCCAGTAGCACCTTGCAGGTTTTCGGCTAGCCAGTATTCCCAGCCCGTCAGAAAAGCGTGAACCACTTCTTGCTGGCTGTGGCTGTTCCGGCAGTAGCAGCTACCGAGTACCTGGAGGAATTCCAGGGCGGAAAGAGCAATGTCCAGTGAAGGCGTGGCACCCCGCTGGGGTGGGGCAGGCGTGCCGCCAGCTTCTACTTCTGCAGCAGAACACCTCGTCTCCAGCACAAGCTTGTAAAAAAATACTTTCACAGACTATACTGTACAGAACTAGGAGTTAACACCGTCTATTACGATGCTAAAACATCTGTATAAATACTATACACGCATGGAGTGACTCCATTAGAAAGGGCTCACCCGTGAGGCTATTAAAAACTGCTGTCAGCATGCCCAAAGGGAAACTACTCCCACGGTAGGAACAGGAAAAAGGAGGACTGCGCTGTGTCTACAGTCTACACTCGCAGTGCCTTAGAGACATCGTTACAGTTCCTACTGACTACGCCAAGACCTGGACAACTGGTAAGCTACACATGGGGGCTGGCCCTGTGGGAAAATATATTTTGGAACAACACTTTGGATCAGAACTTTTAGCACTTTGAAAACCAGCCATGTAGACAGATGTCCCTTCTGCGGGTCTGGTCATCTGGCCACCCCCTGGGTCCGACGGGGACCACCAGACGCCTTGGGCTCCCACCCAGACGGATGTAAATCGCTGCTCCCTCTCCCACTCTCCCTGGCAGCCAGGTCCGCTGACACACACCCTGGCTGGTCACCTGCCACCTCTGCGTCCCTTGGTGCTGAGTGGCTGATAGGCGTTGGATGCAAAGAAGGCGTTGGATGGACGTACCTGGAGACCCAGCTCCAGTTCCGGGGCCGGGCTGTGGGTGAAGAGGCGGCAAAGGGAGGTGGAGAGAGCGTGTGTCCCCGTCCACTTACGTGCTGTCCCCCAAGGTGGCGTTTAATCGGGCATTTCGATGTTTAATTTGGGAGGGGGCAGCACATACTTTCCAGGGCTCTGCGTGATGACCACCCTGGTCTTCTTGCGAAACACAGGAGCAATTTTAGGAGGTTCCGGAACTGGGGTTTCTTCAGTTTCTTCATTGTCTTCGTGATGGAGATCGTAGGAAATGTTTCCGTATTCTCGCAAAAATGGGAAGATTTCAAGCAGAAACTGACAGAAATCTTTGCGAATACCAAACCACCCTGAAAAATAAGAATGTTCTTTTTCAAACGCTAGGCCCAAGTGACTTTCACGTTACCTTTCTTTCCTGAACAAGAAGTCCATTTTCTCCAGAGAGTTCACTCAGAAACGAAGACTAAACAGGGCCTCAACTCAATAACGGGCCAAACAAAGTACGACCTCTGGCTCCGGGGTCCTCAAAGCGGGGTTCCCAGACCGGCAGCAGTACCATCCCCAGGGCCTTGTTCAGGATGTGATTCTCGGGCCCTAGCCCTGACCTCCTGAATCAGAAACTGTAGGTTGGGCTGGTGTAGGCTGAGGCCACCCACTTTTCCTGCCCTTAAGGGATCCTGTTGGGGGCTCAAGTTCGAGAACCACTGCCCTAGTGAGTCTCAAATACCTGTGGTGCCTAGACCACGCTGCCTTCCTCTAATCTTCCATGCCCAGGATAAGCTCTTGGATGAGAAAGAGTGTCATGCAAGAAGAGGATTTCTGTCACCCTGTGGAATCTGGGAAGGTGGCAGGCAGGTGTTGGTCCAGGCCAGGGGCCACCCTAAAGCTACTTCCCCGAGGCCTGCCCCTCCTCTCTGTGCACCACCCAGCCGTCGGCTCCGTGCTGGCTGGCTCTCCCGGGGCACAGGCAGCAGCAAGCATGGCCTGGGCTGCGGTCTAGGCACTGCTCCCACCCCACTGGCTTCCAGAAGGCCAGTGCTCTGGGGTTCCATGCGATGGAGCTCACAGCCTCGTGAGGAAGGGACCCTCCTTACAGATCGTTTCAAAACTGTGTGGCACTGCATGCAAGTAGAGAGGAAGAGAGGGCACACAAGGTGCACCTGACAACACTCACTGATGTCAGCAAGGACATGGGGGAAGGGGAGGGCAAAAAGGGACCTAGGATGATCTCGGGGCTCAGGTGGGAGATGTGGACGTTTCATCCACTCCTCACAAGCCCTGGAAGGAAGTATCTTGATCCCAATTTTGTAGAGGAGGAAAGGGGAGCTGTGAGAGGCTGCTTGTCTTGTTTGTTCCTCCCTCAAATCACGGGGAGCACTTGGAGGAAAGCCGTGGTGCAGGCCAGGGGACAGCTCTCCCTTCCCTTGGAGGGCCCTAGAACGTCCTCAGCCCTTGCTTTCCCGCATAAACTTCTAACTCAGGGTCCTCAGACTCATCCTTTCATAGTTCGGGACCCCTGCACCCCCACAGACACACACATGAAGGGCTTCTGACACGCCGAGTACGTACAGTGGTTTCCTCCCTTCTGTCCAAACGTGGTTGCCATCAGTGTGATCAAGGAGAGCCACAGAGGCACGAAGATGGGTATGCAGGAGAACGCATTGTGGCCATCCAGTTTGTGAACCGGCAGAATCTAAAGAGAGAGACACAGACAAGGTCCTTTTGACACAACGACAGAAAATGGACAACTTTGGAAGCTGCACCTCATCAGACGGCCCCTGCCCGCTGAGCTGTCAGAAGCGGGAAGGTCAGCACCTCAGGTCTCGGCCAAAGACCACCCATCCTCAGGGGCTGCCAGGAGATGAGCTTTTACCTCCCTCTCTAGGGTTAAGCAAAAGTCCCTCCACTTGAAACGTTTCCGGCCCCAGGAATTTTATGGGAATCTCCTCCAGGTGTTTGTTCAAAGGAGTCAATGGCGGCCACTCCAGAATTCTCCACACAACTCAAATCCGAAAATCCAATATCCAACTCGCCCTTTCAAAAACTAGGACCTCAAGACATACAGACGCATCCGCACTGGAAAGGTGCACTCCTCGCCGCCAGCCCCTGCCCGCCCCCCAAGAGAAAGAAAGGACATTCTCTTTGGACACACGTCCTATCCTGGAGGTGTGCTCTCACTGCAATTTCGAGGGATAGCAGGCTGCCTTTCCAGGTAGGCAGGAGGCTGTTGCAGGGAAGGGTGGGCCTTAGGGGCCGGAGAGGCTTCCCGTAGGTAGAAAGCTCACCTCAAAAGTGAGAAGAGGCACGACGATGGTCATCCAGCTCAGGGCCATTGTTATGTGAGTCCTGCGCTGCTCTGCAATCACGTCCATGGAGCGCAAGAACAGGACGGACCACACGATGTAATAGAGGACCACCAGGCACAGGAAGGACATGAGAATCCACAGGGGAACACACACGACCTGAGGCAAGGAGGGGAGGAGTCTCTTTAGAGCTTCCAGCCCAGCTTCCGGTGGAAGGCGTTGTCCACACCGTGCTGGGTCTCCCCAGCTAAGACAGCGCCAGCCTGAATAAGGGCGGTCCCTCCTCCCACGACTGCCAAGCGGACAGCGTGGGAAAGAGAAGGTACACTCTGCTTGCTATAGGGCCTGATGCTGGGGAAGCACACGTTCTGTCATCAGTCAGTCCCTCCTCCTTCCATGACAGCCTGCATCTGGCCCCCACGCCTCTGCCTTTCCCGAGGTCCCTCCCCCTTCCTCCTTCCTCCACTCACTCAGGCTCTGCCCTGCTCACTGGCATCACACCCCACCATACCCGCTTCTCAGGAAACATTTCCACAACCTGCCGGAGGTACTTTGGTGAGACACTTGGGAACGGGTCCCCAGAAAGTTCAGCTGCCAGGGCTTCTAGGGACCCCCGCTGTGTTAGTGAACTGGGCAGACTGACGCTGGGCACACAATGCTACCCCGTCCCTGCCACCATGCTCAGGCGAGTTCTGAGTATGTCACTGTCCTACCAGAAAGACCTTGTCTCACCCGCATGCAAGCCCAGAGGATAAGCCCTGGGGTGTCACCTGGCCTGGCTCCCTTGTGTCATCTCTTCTCCCTCCTGCCCTGCCTCCCAGTTCTCCCGTTTTCTTTTACTAATTATGGTACAGTAAAAGTGACTGTCTTCCTTTGCCATACAGTTCTATGAGTTCAAACACACGTGTAGATCCTCACAGCCACAGGCAGGAGGAGCTCTCCCACCCGACACCCTCGGCTGTCCTCCTTCCGTAGTCACACCCTCACTCCACCATAACCCCTGGCAACCAATGATCTGTTCTGTCACTATACTTTTGTCTTTGCTAGAACGTTACATAGATGGAATCACACAGCATGCAGCCCTTTTGAGCTGGCTCCTGGCGATCAGCCTGCTGTCTCTGAGATTCATCCACATCGTTCCCTGTGTCCACAGGTTGTTCCCTTTCATTGCTGAGTGGTATTCCACCGCATGGGAGGCTATAGTTTGTTTCCAGAACCGTCCATCAAAGGTGGTTTCCAGCTTTTGGTTATCCCAAACGAGGCTGCTACAAACACTGGAGTATGGGTTTCCAAGTGGCTGGCTGTTTTCATTTCTCTAGGGCAAACACCCAGGGGAGTGTTTACACTCTGGGTAAACACCCAGAGTGACTACTGGGTCACACGGTAAGTGCACCTTTAAATGTATCAGAAACTGCAAAACCGTTTTGCAGAATGTCTGTGCCCTTGTGCCTTCCTGCCAGGAATGTGGGAGCATCCCAGTTCCTCCGCATCATTCCCCTACCTCCCCGAACCTGGCCGTGGCAGTGTTTTTGAGTTTCACCATTCTGGTAAATGTGCCGGGGGAACCCATCCTGCCTGTCCCTGATGGGTGATGACGTTGAGCATCTCTTCCTGTGCTTACTCCCCATGTGTATATACTCTTTGTGAATTGTCTGTTAAGCCTTTTGCCGGTTTTTAAACTACGTGTTTGTTTTCTTATTTTTGAATTCTCTGTATGTTTTAGGTACTTGTCAATGCTTTGATATGTGCTTTGCATATACTTTGTCCCAATCTGTGGCCTGCCTTCTTGTTCATTTCAATTTTGAGGATGTCTAGATTTATTTATTCATAGATTTTATTCCAGGATGTCTAGATTTATTTATTCATATATTTTATTCCAGGACTGGGGCAAAGAAAATACAACATGAACTTAATGTTTTGCGGTGCCAGAAAATAAGGAAATGCTTAAGAAATGATGAGAAATATAAAAAAGACACAGGAGGTCCCAAAGGGGAAAAGGGCTCCCCAAAGCTGGGAAATATCAGCAAAAATGTCAACAATGATAGTATTGAATTATAACCAATAGAATAAAATAATGATTTTGAGTTTTCTGATCTATGAACTTGTTAATATGTCTCTGTTTATTTAGGTCTTCCTTAATTTTTCTCACCCATCTTTTGTAGTTTTCAATGTACCTTTCATTAAATGTATTGCCAAATGTTTTATGTCTTTTGATTCTATTGATAAGGTAGTTGACTTAGTGTCATTGTCATGCGTTTGTTGTTAGCATAGAGAAATACTACTGATTTCTGTATGTTGAACTTGTGTCTTACAACCATGGTATGTTCACCTGTCAGTTATATTTTTGGTCCTTTTATAGAATCCTTAGGATTTTCCACATTGATCTTCATGTTGTTTGCAACAAAGAAGTTTTATTTCTTCCTTTTAAATTATTATGCCTTTTATTTCTTTCCCTTATTCTATTGCAATAGTTTAAATGTCTAATAGAAAAAAAAACTGAGCAGAAATGTGAAATAATGTATTTTTGCCTTGTTCCTGGCCCTAGGTGGAAAGCATTCTATATTTTACCATTGAGTGTAATCTTAGCTCTTGGTTCTTTGTAGATTTTCTTTAACTCATGGAGATATATTTCTAGTTTGCTGGAAATTGTAAAAAATGAAACGTATTGAAAATTTTTAAATGATTCTCTGCATTTAATGGCCATCAGATCTTCTCTGTTCTTACACATTTTCTGTCTATTTTGTTCCAACTATTACTGAAAACTTATATAGGTTAGAAACTTGGCCCTACATAAGAAAGGACATCAGAGAAGGAATAAAGGAAGGTAAATTAAAAGGTTTCTTATTCTTAATGGATCAAAATGTAACTGTTTAGATTAACATAGTCGCCGTGTATTAGCTGATTAGTGCATATGGATAATTGAAATAAATGACATCAATGTTATTTTTAATTTTTTCCTTTTTTAATTTCAGAATATTATGGGTGTACAAACACTTCGGATACATATATTGCCCTCTCTACACCCATGTCAGAACTACAAGCATGCTCAACACACAGACATCTTGCACTGTATCCATCAGATGTGAATCTATCCATTCCCTCCTCCTCTCAGCTGCCCAACACCCTGTCAACGATACTTCCATATTTGCACATAAGTGTTGATCAATCAATGCCAATTTAATGGTGAGTGCATGCGGTGCTTGATTTTCCATTCTTGTGATGCTTCACTTAGATGAGTGCGCTCCAGCTCTATTCAGGATAGTACAAGAGGTGCTATATCACCATTGTTTTTGTGGCTCAGTAGAACTCCATGGTATACAGATGCCACATTTTATTAATCCAATGATGTATTGATGGACACTTGGGTTTTTTCGACATCTTTGTAATTGTGAATTGTGCTGGTGTGAACATATGAGTGCAAATGTCTTTTTTATAGAATGCTTTTTGTTCCTTTGGGTATATATCCAGTAGTGGGATTGCTGGATCAAAAGTATAGTTCTCTGAGTTCTCTCCATATTTATTTACATAGAGTTTGAATTAGTTTGTTGTGCCACCAGCAGTGTAAGAGTGTTCCCATCTCTGCTCATCCATGCCAAAATTTGTTATTTCATGTATTTTTGATAAAAGCCATTATCAATGGAGGTAAGTAATATCTCATTGTGGTTTTGATTTTCCTTTTCCTGATGATTAGAGATATTGAGCAATTTGTCATGTGTGTTGGCCACTAGTTTGTCTTCTTTTGAAAAGTTTCTGTTTATGTTCTTTGCCTTCTCTTTATAGGGTCATTTGATTTTTTCTTGTTGATTTTCCTGAGTTCTATATTGATTCTAGTTATCAGCCCTTTATCGGATGTGTAACATGTGAATATTTTCTCCCATTCCATATTGTCTATTTGCTCTGATGATAGTTTCTTTGGCAGTGCAGAAGCTTTTTAATTTGATTAGGTTCCATTTATTTATTTTTGTTGTTGCTGTTTTTGCCTTTGTGGTCTTTTTCATAAATTCTTTTCCTAGGCTGATGTCTATAAGAGTTTTTCCAACATTTTCTTCTAGAATTTTTATGGTTTCATGCCTTAGGCTTAAGTCCGTTATCCATCATGAGTTGAGTTCGGTGAGAGGTGAGAGGTGCAGATCCTGTTTTATTCTTCCACATATGACTATCCAATTTTTCCAGCATCATTTATTGAATAAGGATTATTTCCACTAGTGTATGTTTTTGTCTGCTTTGTCAAAGATTAGATGGCTGTATGAGGATGGTTTTATATCTGGGTTCTCAGTTCTGTTCCATTGGTCTCTGTCTCTTTTCTTGTGCCAATAAAATGCTGTTTTGGTTATGATAGTCTTGTAGTATAGCTTGAAATCTGGTAAATTGATGCCTTCCAATTTGTTCTTTTTGCTGAAGGTTCCTTTTCCTATACAGGATCTTCTCTGGTTCCATACGAAGTGTGGAATTATTTTCTAGATCTGTGAAAAATTACCTTGGTATTTTAATAGGGATTTCATTGAAACTGTAGAGCACTTTGAATAGTACAGGCATTTTAACAATGTTGATTCTGCCAATCCATGAACATCGTATGGTTTCCCAACTGTTTGTGTCCTTGGCTATTTTCTTCTTCAGTGTTTTGTAGTTCTCCCTGTAGAGGTCTTTCACCTCCTTGGCTAAATATATTTCTAGGTATTGTATTTTCTTTGTTGCTATTGTGAAAGGTATTGAACCTTTAATTCAGTTCTCAGTTTGATTGCTGTTGGTGTATAGGAATGCTACTGATTTATGTACAGTGATTTTGTAACTTAGGACTTTGCTTTATGAATCTGGGTGCACTCCAGTTAGACGCATATTTAGATATTTAGAACTGTTATGTCTTCTTGTTGAATTGTTCCCTTTACCATTATATACTTACCATCTTTGTCTTTCATTACTTTGGTTGATTTGAAGACTAAGATATCTAAAATGAGAACTGCTACACCACCTTTGTTTGGCTTTCATTAGTGTGGAATATTATTTCCATATCTTCACTATAAGTATGAATGAATCCTTATGGGTTAGATATGTTTCCAGAATTTAGCAGAAACTTGGCTTGTATATATTTATCCATTCAGCTAGTATATGTCTCTTCAGTGCGCAGTTCATGCTATTCACATTTATTGAAAGAATTAATATTTGGGGTGGATTTCTGTTTATCCTGTTGAGTTGAATTTGGTTGCTTTGTTTCCTGTTTAGAGCCACTTTGGTATCTGGCCTTTGACCTTTAGGTTTTGGATGACTTTACACTGGTGAGTGTCTATTGTGCTGATGTGTATGTAATGCTATTCTGAATACTTCCTGGAGGGCAGGTCTTGTCTTGATGAATTCCCTCAGTGTTTGCTTGTCTGAGAAGGTCTTTATTTCTCCTTCATATAAGAAACTTAGTTTCACAGAACACAAAGTTCTAGGCTGCACATTATTCTGTTTGAGATGACAAAGAATGGGGCCCCAGTCCCTTCTAGCTTGTAAGGTCTCAGTTCAGATGTTTGCAGTTAGCCTGATGGGTTTTCCTTTGTAGATTACCTGTTGTTTTTACCTGTGGCTCATACAAGGGCCTTTTTCATGTTTATTTTGGCCAGTCTGATGACTACTGTGTTTCCCCGAAAATAAGACAGGGTCTTATACATATTTTTCCTCAAGAAGACACCCTAGGGCTTATATTCAAGGGGTGTGTTATTTTCCCCTCAAAGCCTCAGCTTGCAGCATGCACAGGATGGCCAGGACTTGATGGGGGAGCCAGCCTTGTTGGTGGGGCTGCCTGCACCTTTCCAGTCACCTCTGGGATAGTAGCTATCACTATGAGGCAGATGAGAAGGACTGCTTGTATTCTTTACTGCTCCATGACAAAATGCATTGGTTGTGCAGATACACTGCATTGCCACGCCCATCACTAGGTCTTATTTTCGGGGTAGGGTTTATATTGCGCAAATGCTTAGAAATCCTGGTAGGGCTTATTTTATGGGTAAGTGTTATTTTCGGAGAAACACGGTGTGTGTCATGGTGTTTTCCTCTTTGCAATGAATTTCCCAAGAGTCTTGTGAGTTTCCTGTACCTGAATATCTACATTTCTATCAAGGCCAGGGAAATTTTCCTCCATTATTCCCTCAAATAGAGTATCCAAATTTTGTGTATTTTTCATCACCCTCAGGGATGTCTATGATTGTTATGTTAGGCCTGTTCAATAATCCAATATTTATTGTAAGCTTTGCTATTTTCTCTTAATTCTCTGCTCTATCTCTGAGAGTGACTTGTATACATGAAAAGTGCTGTCTTCAATCACTGAGATTCTCTCTTCTCCTTGATCTAACATATTTTTGAGGCTTTCCACTGTGTTTTATAATTCCTTTAAAATGATTCATTTCCAAAAGTTCGTTTTGATTTTTATTTAATATTTCAATTTCTTTAGTGATTTTTTTTATTCATTTCCTGCATTATTTTTATGGTTTCTTTGTGGTAGGTTTCCATTTTATCTTTCATTTCATTGAGTTTCCTTTCAATCCATGTTTGAAATTCTTCATCTCTCATTTCAGTGTTCTGATTTTTGTTGTTATCCATTGCTAGAGAGCTGGTGTTTCTTTTTTGGGGTGTCCATTCAGTTTGATTCTCCATACTTCCAGAGTCTTTTGCTGAAATCTTTCAATCTGGAGCACTTGATGCTAAGAATGGGTACAGGAAAAGCCTCTGAAAGAAACTGAATGCAAGTTCCAATTAACAACTTTTAGCAAACTAAGATTAAAAGGAACGTCCACTTCCTAAAATTGGCACCCAACGTACTTAAATGTGAAAAGTTAGAAGTATTGATCATTTATGTCAGGGCCAAGTCATTAACGTATGCTCTTCGACTACTGTCCATAGCTGCAGTGGAACCCAGAGCCAGAGCTATGTATATCAAGATGACAAACAGGAATATTAAAAGGGAATAATATACAATTTTTATTGAAAATATGATTATCTATCAACAAAATTCAAAGGAATAGGCACATGGAATATTTGAATGAATAAGAGACTTCAGAAAACAGCATATGGATGATCACGACAGCAAAATCAAGAGTCTTGCCTCACAAAACATACAATGTAAAATAGAAAACAGATCATTCACAAGAGCAAAAAACTACAAAATTTAACAAAACAGCAGCCCAGCAAAAATATACAAGATCCTTATGGAAGTAATTATACAAGTTTCCTAATAGATTGAGGGGGAAAAATTGCAAATACATGCAGCAGAATATCATATTCATTGATGGAGAACAGGATAATACAAAGATCTCTATATTCTGATTAAATTTCTTACAGAATTAGTACCTTACCTTTATGGCAAAAGGACAAACAAGCTCGAGCTACTGTGTTCTGCTCCCAAAATCAACCCTGAAAAACTCTGGAAAGGGAAAAAATAAATATCAAGCAATAAAATATAAACAACAAAACACTAGGAAGCCCTGGGGGAGACTGAAGACAATGTTGAACTGATAGGTGTGTTTGGGGGATAGGGAGTGGCAGGCAAACTGGGTAGGTCTGTGTCCTGCACAGATGGCAGATCACACAAAACATAGGAGGAAAGTTTTAAGCTCCTGCCCCGATCTTATTGCAAAATCTGAGGGAGCACTACACGCTGCAGATGTCAGTAGCCCTGGGGTAATATTAGGACAGCAAAAAAATTGGGTTGATGGGGACACTGTGGCTCCAAGGTCCTGCTAATAACCACCTGAAACCTCCTTAATTAGGACTGGACTTCCAAAAATCTATTATTTTAATGGAATATAAAGAGTGAACTAGAAATAGAATAACAAGTATAACAGTGAATCACATAGCAAAAGTAGACATTTTTTACTAAAATAAATATAGTATACATATACAAATGTATAAATATATAAGCATATACAATTATACATGAATGTGTATACATACACATACATGTTTATGAAAACATCAATATATATTTCTTTGGCATATACCATATATATATGATGGACACATGCACTTGCTGGAGCTCTTAAATATATTTCTTACTATGAATGAGGATTAAAATAAGGAATCACTAAACTAGACTGAAATGTTGGATAACTTGAAAAAGCAGGAATTCACCAAATACCCTGCTGCTGTTCAGCCTCTTCAATATAAAAGCAAATCTTCTGGAACACAAGGTTTCAAAGTCTACGTGCGGCCGGGGAAGAGCCTGGCAGGAAGGTGCCCGTCTTGTCTCGCAGGCCACTACAATCCCGGGCGCTGCAGCCCCCACCCGACATCCGGCCTGGAACCCGCAGACATTCTCGGCAAGGGCTGCAGCTGAGCCCATGCTCAGGGGTGGCGGGGACAGGGACCGCTCGCCGGGCACTTAATCAAAGAGCAGGGAACCAGGATGAGGACCCTCAGAAGTGAGGACAGAGGGTCCACACGCCCCACAGAGAGGACCCACAGGGTCCTGCTCGGCTCCTGCTGGCAGCCCTGGGACACCCGGCATGTCCCCCGCCTGACCACTGCCCCCAACGGCCACCTCAGGTGACTCCGGGAGTCAGAGCCTCGTGAGACCCGAGGCCCTGGCAGGTCCCGAGAGGGCGGGGCCCCGGCTCTGCCAGGCATCAGGGGCGGGACCCTGAGGGAGACTGAGGCCTCCCACCGCCAATCCCGTTCCACCCCTGCTGTCAGCCCTGGGAAACGCATTATATCGGGCCCAGGATGTGATGTCCACCGACTTCCGCCTGGGGGGGATGAGAGAGGCGAGGCGTTTAGTTTGAGATCGGGACTTCAGGTGCTCAGAGGTGAGAGAGCCGAGGTTCTGTTAGGAATCAAGGTGAGATGCTGAGGAAGGACTGAGGAGGCCCCACCCCAGATGGAGAGTCCCCCAATAATCCAGCTTCCCCCCTGCTGTCAGCGGTGGACCACCCCCGCGACAGACGCCTCAGGCTGAGCCCCTCCCCCAAGATGTTCCTCAGGGATCTCTGAGAGTAAAAGTCTGGTGTGACCTGGCGGAATAATGTCCCTAAAGGAGGGGATCCAGGCTGCGCCACATCTCTATCAGGGGACTCCACAGTCTACCCTTGTCCCTGTTGTCAGCTCTAGGAAACCCGGGGTATGGGGCCTGGATGTAACGTCTACTGATGTCCGTCAGGGGAGCTGACAAAGGCGAGGCTGTTGGTCTGAGGGACGGACTTCACGAGGGCAGAGGGGAGAGGGCCCAGGCTCGGTTAGGAGTCAAGTGAGATGATGCGGGGGTACAGAGGGGGCCCCCACCCCAGGTAGAGGGTCCCCAAATAATCCATCTTTGCTCCTGCTGTCAGCCCTGGAAAGGCCCTGTTTGGGGGGGGGAATCGGATGTGACGTCCACCGACTTCCGCCTGGGGGCCTGACAGAGGCGAGGCTGTTGGTCTGAGGGGCGGACTTCACGTCGGCGGAGAGGAGAGGGCCAAGGCTGTGTTAGGAGTCAAGGTGAGATGCTGAGGGAGAATGGTGGGCCGCATAGAATCGCCCCTGCCCCTGCTGTGACCCCGGGAGGCCCCAGAACAAATTTCACCTTGAGACACCTCCCGAATTCAGCCTCGGGAATCTGAGGGGTGAGGACGCTGGTCAACAGGGGATGGGGGCCCAGGCCCCGCCGGGGTCAAGGGGAAGACACAGAGGGAAGACAGTGTGTACCTTACTCTCCAGTACACAGGGAGACCTGGACCCTGGGCAGGGTGGCCAGATGTGGTGCGTCGTGGCTTCTGTCTTCGGGGTCGCAGGGAGGGGAGGGCTTTGGTCCGAGGGGAGTTGTGACGTCAGCAGAGGGCGGAGTCTAGGGTCCGGCGTGAATCACGGGAAGAAAGTTGGTGAGATTAAAGGCATGAGGTACCTCCGCACTCCCCAGAAGGGGGCTCGCACAGAGTCTGGCATCCCTGTTTTCCGCCCTGGAGGCCCAGGGCAGGGGTGGCATGTGGCGTTGCTCTTTTCTGCCACGTGGCTGGGGGTGGGGGGTCTCAAGGAGGTGAGCACCTTGGTCCGAGGGGTGAGGCCAGCCAGCAGAGGGAGGAGTCCCAGGACATGCCAGGCCCGAGGTGTGCACCCTGGTGAGGACTGAAGGTACTCCCAGCCCAGATAATAGGGACCCGGCAAACTCCAGCTGTCCTGGACCCGATCGGGGGTGACCCTAAGTGGCCAGTACACTTCTGCCAGGTCAGGAAGTTGGGGAATCCTCAGGAAGATGAGGCCTTGGTCTAAACGGGGGATGTCTGCCCATGTCAGGCGGGATGGGGTGAGGAGGGCAGGCCCCTAGAGGAGGACTACGGGAGGCCCCACGCCAGAACAGACGGGCCAAACCCCTGTTGTCAGACCCGGAGACCCCACGCAGGGGTGATGGGATATGGCACCTCCTTGCTTTTGTTTCGGGGCTCCCAGGGAGGTGAGTAACTTGTTCTGACAGGGTGGCATCAGGTCAACACAGTCAACCCCATCTGGTCGACAGACACAGTGGTCCCAGAATCTGCCAAGAGTCAAAGTGAGCACCCTGAGGGAGGATTGAAGGCACCCCCAGCCCAGACACAGACCGGCCCCCACAGATATCCGCCCCTGCTCTGTTGAGAGCCTGAAATGCCTGTGCAGGGCTGTCAGGCTGAGGTCCCCTCTCTCATATCTGGATCACTGGTCTCTGGGAGGTGGAGGCCATCGTCTGAGCAGGCTGCACTCAGGTCAGCAGCACAGGCAGGATCCAATGCCCTGCCAGGAGTCAGGGTCAGGACTGAGGGGACCCTACTCACCCAACACACAAGACCCAACCCTGCCCTGCCCCTCCTGTCGGCCTGGGAAAGACACAGGGAACAGTGCGTGGGTGGCCTCCCCTCACTTCCTCTTCTGGTGTCTGGTGGAGACAGGGCCTTGGTTTAAGGAGGTGGCCTCAGGTCCACCCTCCCTCCCAGGCCTTGCCAGGCATCAAGGTGAGGACCGAGCAAGCTCCTCCCCGAGAACACATCGACCCCACTCAATGGTACTGTCCTCTCTGGGAGGCCCAGGGCAGATGGGGCCAGATTTCGGGCCCACACTGCCTTCTGCTCTGTATCAGGAATGTGAGCTTTTATTCTGAGATTTTCTCGGGATAGCAGAGGGGTCTGGTCTAGCGCCCTCTAGTTGACAGCTGAGGAGCTTTAGTGAGCACAGTAGAGACCATCCACCCAAAGGCAGAGAGAACCCCACAGCGCCCGGCCCCACCCACCCACTGTCGGCCCTAGAGCCTTGCCCTCTGCTGGCCTGCTGCTTCCTTCTTCAGGTGCTAGGGGGACAGTCCCACCAGCAGGAGAGGAGCCCTGGTAGGCCCCAGCGCATCACTTAAAGAGACGGCCTGTAGACTGGCCTTTGTTAGAGTCCCCAGGGTATGTTTCTCACTGAGGCCACTGACATGCTCCCTGTCTTCCTAGGCCTTTGTGTCCCTATCACCGATCTCTTGCCCACAGTCGTGCCTGCTGTCCCTAACCAGAGTCATCATGCCTCACCACCACTACCAAAAGAGAAATCAGTGTGGCAGTCTTGAGGAAGGCCTTCAGGCCCAAAGAGAGGCTCATGGCCTGGTGGGTGCACAGGCTCCTGGAGCTCAGGGAGAGGGGGCGGCTGCCTCCTCTACTGTGATCCAGGGCATCCTGGAGGAGGCTGCTGCTTCTACAACACTAAGTCCTCCTGAGAGTCCTCAGGAAGCCTCACCCTGCCCCACTAGCCTGGTCTCCAGTCCAGAGCACCTCTCCGATGAGGGATGCAGCAACCAAGAAGAGGAGGGACCAAGCACCTTGAAGGTTCCGGCCAACCCAGAGTGCATGCTGCAAGAGGCACTAGAAGAGAAGATGTCTGATTTGATTCATTTGTTGCTCCTCAAGTATCGCTTCAAGGAGCCTATCACCAAGGCAGAAATGCTGAATGTTGTCATCAAAGATTACCAAGACCACTTCCCTGTAATCTTCAGGGAAGCTTTGAAGTGCATGCAGATTGTCTTTGGCGTCGATGTGAAGGAAGTGGATTCTTCCAGTCACTCCTATGTTCTTGTCACCACCCTGGGCCTTACCTACTATGAGGAGCTGAATGATGCCCAGCACTTTCCCAAAGTTGGCCTCCTGATCATTATCCTGAGCTTGATCTTCTTAGAGGGTGACTGCGCCCGGGAGGCAGTCATCTGGGATGCCCTGGGTGTGATAGGGGTGCATGCTGGGAGTGATCATTACATCTATGGGGAGCCCCGGAAGCTCATCATTCATGATTGGGTGCAAGAAGGGTACCTGGAGTACCGACGGGTGCCTGACAGCGATCCTGCTTATTATGTGTTCCTGTGGGGTCCCAGGGCCCATGCTGAAACGAGCAAATTGAAAGTCCTGGAGTATGTGGCCAAGGTCAATGGGTGTGATCCCAGATCCTTCCCACTCCTGTATGAAGAGGCTTTGAGAGATGAGTAAGAGGAGGCATGAGCAGGAGTTATAGACAGGGCAGATGGGGGCGCAGGGCCAGTGTACCTCAAGGTCCTCTTCCAGCAGCTCCTCCTGCTCCATTAGAAATGAGTCATTCTGTACTTCATGTTTGAAGATATCAGTTAGTGCTTTAAGATAGTGGAGGGCCCAACAAGGTTGGGGAAACCATCAGTGCATGAAATTTTGTGCTCCCATTACATTTGGTTGTTTTGGAAATTGATCTTTGTTTTCCTTTGAAATTTTACAAGTTTGTTTTGCTTCATAGAAGATTTAATTAGATTAAGCATCTAAGTTGGTGAATGATATTTACCACACATGTAATTTTGCTTATAATAAAAAGAGTTTGCTATTTTGTAAAACAAGTGTAGAAACCTTCCATTACATTTTGCTGCTTGGAAAAAGGTGGAATTGGAATTTCATTGCAATATGAATTTTCTTAGAAATGTGAAAGAACATTCCATTCAAATATATGGAGCTATGAAATAGAGAAATAAAATGTAAAGACAGTTATTTCTTGGCCTCGTATCCCTTTTTCCTGTTTTTCCATAAAATTAGTGTATATATATATATATATATATATTATGTATGAAAACTTGTTTGGCTTACTGGAGAATGTAGGGGAAATTAAATATCAATAAATAAGAGCCCCTGCTCCCTGGCACATTTGTTTCCAAAAGATTCATTGAGCATCAGCTCTTTGGAAGGCCCTGGGTTAACGGACACTCTGGGGTAAGCCAGACCGGCCCCCTGCCCATAGAATGAGAGAGTCTAGGAGCTGCAGTCATATAATTAAGGGGGAATGCCCTCTAAGTCTAAGAACAGTGACGGAAGGGTTGAAGGGTGGTGCTTCTGGTGAGGCAGTGGGGTGTGGGTGCCTGAGCCAGGGCGGTTTGGGGCTTTGGGAAACTGCATTCCTTCTGTGGGAGTTGGTTTAATGAGCTGGGTGGTGGCAGGCGGACTCTCAGACCATGTGACTTGTCACTTAGGGCTGAGTCAAAACCTGAAGGGAGAACTGCCCTGAGCAGTCCTTCTGGATGATGAGAAAAGGAGAGAGAATCTCCCCTGGGGCAGAAGTGGAAGGCGTCCCATGCTCTTAGCCCACTGTGGCTGAGCACAGTACAGGAACCAGGTGATTGACTCCCGTTGTCTGAGGTAGTCCTGCGGGATAAGGTGACTCTCCATGAAGTAAGGCCCAGAAGCCACTGGCAGGTATTCATCTGCCCCTCCCCCCACCCGGGAGAACGCAGAGCTGACCTATTAAAACTGAATTTTAATTAGGTCGTTTGTAGTGTAAGTTGGACAACTGTAAGCAAGATCTAGATTTGGGGTGGTGATGAAATGAATGAAAATAGTGGTTTAGATGGAAGAGAAGCTGGGAGGAAGGAAGGTAGTTGGACCTTAACTCCATGTAATATTAGGATATTCACGTTAGATGCACCTAACTGGGGAAGATCCCAGACACTTACTTACTGAAATAAAAATCCTCGTGGAACATTTACTGGGCAGCATTTTGTTGTGATTCGGTTCAGGTTTTAT